GCTAGTTCTACCAGCAAATTCATAGGGAAGAATACAAGATTAACTCTGAAAATACAGAGAAAACGTCTCTGAAATTTAAAAAACTTTATTATATAACGCAATGATGAAAAAAAGTCCACAAACCGGACTTTATAGCAAAAATTCGAATTTGACCAAAAATGGAAAAATTCCAAAAATTACGCCAAACGAAAATACTGAATAAAATAAGTAGTCTGCGAAAAATCTAGTCCAAATCGGGTTAAAAATCATCTCCTAATATGCAATCGAAATATTACAAAAAATAGCAAAATTTAATTAAAAATAGCAATTCGAAAGGGAAAACAACGGAATTTGAGGTTGAAAAAGCTCGGTGTCCACTACGTGCACGTCGAAACAAGCTTTCCGGATTGTTGTCACAATCGCGATTCTAATAACCGTAGCCAAAGTTATGACCAAATTACCAAAACACGACTCAATTACCGAAATTACTCGATCACTTGATATCCTTGCGCCGATCTGCTAACTCGTGATACTTTAGAGTTATTAACGTGTTATCTGACAACTCAACATCTGAATCGGACCCTTCTGCATCAGGTTGACTTTTTAAGATGGAACCCCAAATGTTAACACGGATTGATTTCTTTTCTAGACATAAAAGAAATTTTAGCATTATCAATTAAGAAAAAGCTGTAGATATATATAAAAGTAAACAATATTTGACAAGTTTTAATAAACTTGCTAAAAATCAAACAATTTTTTATCCACGTATTTCGTAGAACCCATAAGTACCACATATACATAGTCTACTTGTTAATTGTTAACTTGAACAAAATTTCACATTCTAAATTGAAGTAAATATATGTGCCACAAATGCCAAAATGAAAATTCACATTACGTTTTACACTAAGGGTGCGTTTGATTGCAAGGGTGGAAAATGGGTGGAAAGAAAATGTTTTATAGGGAAAAGATTTGCCTAGAAAATGTTTTGCAGGAAAAATGATCTCAAGTGTATTTGATTAGTATAATTTTCCGCCCGAAAAATTTTTAAGTTTTCTGTTAGTTT